ACCACTCAATCCAGTTTATGGCCCCAGCAAATTAAGCCGGCACTCGGATGATTAAGTGTGCCCTGCCACCCTTTCGTGGCTGTTACATCGCCTCGATCCTCGAACTGCCTCAACCTCATAAAAGGTGAAAAACAAAAGATTCACTCACCTTCGGGCTCAATAAATCATAGTTAACTACCTACTACTCCATACTTCTTCCTCCTTTGTAACAGTTTATAAAACTTATTGGGATAGTTTATCGCGATTTCCTGATCTTTTATGGAGAACCTAACATGAAGTGTTATATGTTATATAATACAGTTTCAACAAAATAACAATGACAATTTATAGATAAAACCAACTGTCATCATCCTAACTATCAATGAGGATCGATATTCAGAACGAAGCACTACGAAGGTCAGTTAGGTATACGATGAAGGAATTTTCGATTTCTCCAATAGATGTTATCCAAAAGCTTTACTAAATATGATCTTGGAGTTCAATGTTTCCTCATAATTCTTTCTTCGTTCCTGAGGTCAGATACCCAGACTTAGCTGCCACCATGTAATTTATTATATGATACAGTTTCAATGTGATTACTTTTTATTCCCAAAAGTGACAAACAAGATAACAATGACAATTTCTAGATAAAACCAACTGTCATCCTAACTATCAATGGAGGTTTATATTCAATACGAATATACTACATAAAGTACCCTTCTCCTTCCAGTCAACCATGAGATGTATGAATACGCACTTTCTGACATGCGATATCGCATTTGAAGTCACAAACATGTTACCGATACAACGTGGCGATGTTAAAATGTCTGACTCAAAGAACATTCACAGTGATGAGTCATGAAATGCGACATCGCATAAAAATTCACTACCAGGTCACATAGAAGTGTACATTTTATATCAAAAATACGTCACACTGCGACAACGATTAGTAGTTCTTACCTGTGATATTCGTGAGGAAGATTTATTCAACTTCACGGAGGAAATATTTATGTTTCAAAACAGAACTCATTATGACAATCATCTTCATTAGTAATCTTGTAGTAAAACATGACACATAGCAATACAAATATGAATTATACATAATGATACCAATCAAACACACTACTTTCCCTTGGGATCTCTTTTCCAGCTTGCTTGAGATTGATATATTTCCTTTCTCAGAGGACACAGGTGTCAGGTGATTTATGACCATTGACTTAAAATTGAGATGGAATAATTGGAATATTGGTATTGTACTCACTGTCGTCCCTGATTAATTATTGTACCCCCAATTTGAAGCTCACATATCAGCTTCAAATTGGGTATTCTCAGACTTTTCACAGAAAACTCGAAGGAAAATACAGTATGTGCGGAGTTGGATGACGTAACCAAAGAATCAACAGATAACAAACAAGGGCGTGATGCACATGACATGGCCACAGCTTAAAACATGATGTCTGGCGTGTGTGTTCGTTTTGCGCATGTGTGTGTCACACTCACAAGTCACAAATGATGTCTTATTTCGATATCGATGTGAAACATTCAGTTGACGTAGATCAGATGTAGGTATCTTAAGTTTGATGAATGTCCCTGACACATTAAATATTTCCGTGGTCGTGATGTAACCTAGTGACTTTGATATCGGTTCTACGTCGATTAGATGTGTCAACTGATGTTGATGTCGTACGATGGTTGAATGGGCTTTCGTTGGCCCACAAAAGGCTTCACGAGATTTCTCAACTTACTCAACTTACTCGACTTATCAACTTACTCAGCTATCTCAAATATTCAGACAGTAGGTGAACTGAGATTTCTGACGAAAAGATATCATATTTTCATTCACTGCATTCTGAATCAATTTAATTTTCAAAACACACTGAACCTTCAAGATCATTGTAATCTTAGATTGAATAGCAGGTTCAATCTTGTGGAAATACAATTATTTTTATTATGAATGTAGCAAATTATTCCCAGAATAATTTAAAACGGTGATATTCTGCTAATGGGACAATTCGATTGTAATGATACAGTACTATGAAGGATAAAAAGTTGATTCTTAAAATGAACCCGATCGTTACTGGATGGAAATCTACAGTCTATGTGAAAAACTTCACGAATGATGAGATTTCCACAAGAATATTGAGAACACGAGATGATCCGCTAACACAGAATTTTTCTTTCATAACGAAATATTCGTATCCACAATGAATGAACGTTATATTTTCTGTGTATGGTCAGTCAATGCTGGGTTAATTATTATATAAGTATAAGTATAAGGACCTTCATCACTTGTCAATAGATTCCAGATCTTGCGTCACACTTATAGTATATTCTCTCCCATTACCTTTCGTCGGCTTCTCATTACTGTTCTTCATCTACTCAAGTCTGATTCGTGGGCATTTAATTTTTATATTTCGTTTTGGTGTTCACAATTCACATAACTTACTGGTGGGAGTTGATTGAGTGTATGTTTTCATAACATGATAAAGATCTTCATATTATAAAAAACAAAATGATTATCGTTGCCAAAATGCAAACATGAGCATGAGCTTCAAAACCCAACCTAGCATTTACGTATTATATATATACATATAAATATATCTCAACGTACCTATTTCAAACTATGACTTTTTTATTGAAAATAATTGTAACAGTGCTCTCAGTTGTAGAGGCACCGTTGCTACAGTTCACAGACCGGCATTTTCACGTAATTGAAATGATACTAATCTTGACTCACAATTATTGGAAAAAATATAAGTCATCGCACAGGACTCCCCACGCGGAGAGTCTCCTCGCCAGTTACCCGAAAATTATTTTTTTTTCAATGTGAAAAATGTCACAAACGATAAGATATATATATATATTCTGTCTCACTTTGATTTGTTCAATTATTCCAATAGCAGATTACAACCCTTCGCATGGATAACCACGTCTTGAAATTATTGTTATAGGATCTTAATGCATCGATGGGAGGTCCCCTGGCACAGTGAATTAGGTATAAGTTTCAAAAGCTTGACAACAAATGTCCAATTAGACGAAACAAATTAGGTTTCTGACTTAAATTGAATTATCTCATCATGGATATCATGAAAATGGCGCCTGGTTCTTCTTGGTAAGTTCGAAATAATCGCCACGAATCTGCAACTTCCATCAATCGTAATCGTCGTTGTAGAATGGAACAACAAGACTTTGGAAAAAGATAGGGTTAACCCAAAACAGGGGCGTCGCCCTAGCTTCTCAGGTAAGGTTCTAGCCGTTCGATATCTGAAGTTAAGCAGTGTCGAGCGCGGTTAGTACTTGGATGGGTGACCATTCAAGGAATCGCCGCGTAAGCCCGTACATCTGTAGCGGAATAGCATATCATAGCTACAGCTACCATATCAATAAGCACAAGATATTGTACGGTTATGCCGAAGGGGGGGGGGGACGTTAAGCCGGCGGTCCCGAGGCCATGGATGTTGGACTCGTTAAAGATCCCTACCTCTGGTTGGAACACCAGAGGATTCGGCAAAATTTCCGGTTTGGGGTATAGTGTGCTCACCGGCGTCGGTGATTAGCCTCAGTAGCAGAAAACGGCCGACGTTGAAGAAACGAATAAAAAAAACCCAAAACAGCGTATCCCAAATGCAGTCAAGAGCAAATCTACTTCTTTGAAGTCTATCATATTTGTTCTGAACGATCTTTCTCTATGCTTCTTGAATTCCTGTTGCAGAATATTTCTGAGACTCATTTGATATTAAATATATGATTCATTCTCTGAATGATAACGGAATTGACATAAAATTAACATTGACAAAACGATCAATTTATGATCCAGTTGCTTTTTGATTTTAATCGATTGAAAATTTCAGCTCTCGTGAGATATTGTCAAGAAGTACAAATGTCTATGAAATAACTTTCGTTCATTTCTAGATCTTCATTCATAAATTAACTTTTCCGAATTAGAACATCTTGTACAGCGTTTCGATCAGGTCAAAAGCGGAGTTCATAGACTCTAGTTCCGGTAAAATTTGCATGAAACCGCTTAGCTTGCGATACTGGCTAAGCTATACGCCCGGTATCGAGCATTGCCATTGCGGAAATTTGCAATGTTAGCATCGATTCCAAATATAAATAGATTCCGAATCGATAAGCCATTCATTACTGATTTTTCATAATTATTGATTCATGATTACTGATTATTCATTATTATTGATTTACTCATGTCTGGTTACTGATAACTAATTCATTACTATTTGATTATTATATTAAATTATAATGCATTTCGATAACACTTTACTTTATTCCGTAATTGAGTTACTAATTCACGAGTTGCTGCCAAAAAGTGTACCGTCCTCCCGATTTTGATCCTGCTGGTCAACCCCATGTTAGATGTCATAATGTAAGTACTGTTTTTCCATGTTCTATCTGAATGGTTGTTTTGTGTTGTGTTCCGTTTGGTTATTTACTATGGTTTGTCTCTGCTACTTTGCCATGTGGCACACATTTATTCACGACTTTCCCATTTAAATCAATAAATGTTAATTTTATACGAAAACTATCTTGACTCTCCATTTGGGAATGAATATGGTTGGGTGGTGAAATGATAAAAATCCTCTGTTCAAGCCAAGCGAGTAGCCAAGTTGCGATCCATAGGAGGGCAACATCTGAGTTGCGACATGTGGTGGACACGCCGTTTGCCAAATAATCTACCAAAACCATCTGAGTTGCGACAATATATCGCGTAACTCTCCTAAATGATAGACCCTGTAGAAAAATAAATGGGAAAGTCGTTTTTGTTCACCCGCAGCTAGTTCCCTAGAAACGGCTGACACTTTAATGGAGAGCATGCATTAAAAATGAATTCGGCTAACAGTAGCATGTAATTGCTGGGAAAAGGCTGAAATTTTATTTGCGTACACGCCTTGTATTATCAGCAAAAAAGGTCTGTAAAATGTAGTTATCACAGGAACTCACGCTGCATAGAGTACACCATTATGTGAATTATGGATGAACATAATTTGAATTTGCATTTACATTAGGTAAATACACATGTTTGTTTACAAGTTACGAGGAGTAGTTTGGAGGCGGAGCACATTTTCCTGCTATTCCTGCTGTATCTCTGAAAGGGCGCAGCAGAGACGTAAATATAAAGGATTGCGAGTGCGACAGCTGAGATAACTCGGGAGTACTTCGGTCGGCGTCAGTTAATAAAGCAATAATGCACCTCAGGGAACAACTTATTTCTTTTACCGGGCAGAGGGCGGAATAATGAAAGCTTTCGCTACAGGAGCGTGAGCAAGTTGCTATTCGTTAGAGATCATTCTCCAGCTAACGCAGATGAGTACTTTTGATTGCATATACGAGAATGTATATACGCATCTATAGCCGTATGAAGCGCTGCTTCTTCGAATTCAAAATACATATAGACTAGGTTTTCAATCTGATGTGTATGATTTTCATATAACCTATCCAATGTCCTGCATCTCACCTCCCGTCTTCTTTAGCTCAGTTGAGTTGAGTCAAGATTTCGATATTTTGCAGACTCCAATTGTCTCATAGGGCCCATACCAGGAAAATAATCCCTTTTATACAGGGTGTCCCAAAAAGTGTGACGTCATAATGTTTATTTTTTCAACATGCCGTATATTTTGTTGCACATTTGGGTGCTTCCAGTGGTTACAAAAGAACTACTCGGATTCAATTGGAATCGATTCAGTGATATTCACGTGAAAAAATATAACAAAAGGATTCAATTCTGCACAACTGGTCAGAAACATTCATATCAAAAAAAAGTTTGCCTTGTGAATCGAATCATGAGGAAGACATATCAAATATAAGGCCTAACAGGATCGCTAACCGAGTTTGGATGACACGAATCATCACAGGATGTGCAAAATTCATTGGCAAACTTTTTAAATTTCAGAGCACTATATTTTTGTTATTCAAATTGAAGCCCCTGTATATTTTCCTGAAAACAACCTTCTTTTTTGACACCCTATCAACATTCTCATCGTATCAAAAGTTATTTGCTGAGAACTCGTTTCATCAACTATTCTTACAGTCATTTGAGAGAATAATAAACGAAGGCAGCTTTAATAAACAATTTCTTGATACAACTCATCAGAAGTGCAACAAAACTATCCGTCCTAATCTTATACACATCATGAAGGTATAGAAAATGAAAGTGATTCTAGTAATTAATTTTGCGAAAACAAATAAATATGAGTATCCCTCGGTATTACCAGATTATCAAAATCTATGTTCGATATGTCTTCCGTTCTCTTGGAGGCACAAGCAAAATACGATTCTGGAATGACCTTGCCTTCGTTCGTAATTGGTCGGGTGTTATGGTTTGAAATGCATTGTGGATTCTTTGCTGCATATCTCCTGGTGTGGTAGGATTTTCTTGATAAACGATATCCTCAACATAGCCCCACAAAAAGAAATACAATATGGTTAAGTCAGGTGATCTGGGCGGCCACTAACTTGGCCCTCCTCTTCCGATCCACCGATCCGGAAAGGTTGTGTTGGGATGGTCATTGACTTGTAATGAATAATATCGATATGAATTTATTATAAAGAAGCCATACTCTTGAATCACTGACAGATAAATGTTTTTTTCTACTCACATAACTAAAAGGGCATTAAGCGTACGGATACGTACCACGCTAAATGATCGATTAATCACGGATTGACGATCTTTGATTTATTCAAAGTAATAAACACGTTACCATGGCAACACGATTTCTAGAACACATTACCATGGCAACACAGTTCATTAAACACAGCTTCAGTAATTTCGAATAACTGTCAAATGTCATCTTCAAATTCTGTATCAGAATTATTCAAACAATTTTCGTTTGTATCAGATTTTTCCATTAAAAATATATGCGAAATGTAGAATAAGAAAGTGCAATCGAATAAAATGTTTTGGTACTTGCGTATCTCCAAGAAGTGATATAATGAAGCATCCATCTTTGAGAACAATTTATTTATTCTGCGCTAAGCATGACAATAAACGTGAAACAAAGGTTAGTAAGTAATGGACTGGACATATCTACAACCAATATCACTCATACGTGTCTCGCTGGTTGCATGCATCAATTGCATCTATTATGTTCTCAATTTCCATTCCTTTCGAATTATTTTGTAGGTTAGCAAAAATAGCAGGTATGTTAATGTAATTTTAGGAGATCGTAGAAAAAGCATAGTATGTAACGCGTTTATAAACTCTTCTAGACACTCGTTTATTAATCACTCGCTCCGCTCGTGCTTAAAATACTCGTTACTAAAAGGACGTTTATAACACTTGTCACATAATATACTATTTATTCACAACCATATATGTGATGTTGGTATTACTAACGTCATTGAAGGTTGGGAAGTGTCACATTACACACCTCTACTTCCCGCCCTCACTTCCGGACCCGCACTACTTCCCGCCCTCATTTCCCGCCCTCACTCATGTAATAATTCAGATATGTTCAGAACGAAACATAGATTTATTAATTTTGATCGAAATATGACGGTTGTGAAAAAAATAGTATAGAAACCTCGGTAGGAAGTTCCATTCCTTTCTCGAAATTATAGCTACTAACTAACTAATCACACGACAGGAATGAATCACTTCCCACCTCGGTCTGTAATATACTATTCCCACCACTAACACTAGAACCGATACCTTAATTCACCCCATTTGTGTGTGTTTTTACTAACAAGGTCATTTTATGAACCACTAGTCGATAAAGAAATAGCCATCCATCTATGATATAATCAACCTGAATTCACTGTTACTATGCGAGATTCGTAGGAATGGCACTCGAATCTAGTAGGTATTTATCAATAACGACTCAACGACTTGTCATATGCTGTCAGGGTCATGGATGCTATATTTTTATCTGGATTGGAAAAAAATGCCTTCATATAGTGACAATAAGTCTATATTTTAGTTTCACAGAACTATAATAGCGATCGAAATATACTGCTAGTGGTGAAAAAAACTCGATATAAAACCTTGGTACTGGAGAATAATATTGCCACAGGACCGTATACCCCTCGGCTGAAACCTCGGGATATAACCTTGGTCCCTATATAATAACTGATATTCTTTATTACCTTGCTGAATGAATAACTATTATACATGGCATTGTCAGTATCAATTCATCAACTTCCCTTTCTTGGATATTTCCGCCATGTCGACCCGATGGAGGTTTATGAATGAGCGCAAAATCTAATCTACCGTATAAGAAATAGCGCAACGAAGAATTCCCATACTCGAACTTAACAAAGTGTAGAAGGCTTTGTGTCAAGAATCATTATATTTATATAGTGATGCAGGAGGAATGGAGTGGTATGGTTTTCAGATCACTGGAAAACAGTTGAAAGAATATAATAGACAGGTCACAACATACAAACATCACATTCACGATCAAATAATATTTCAACCATCAATAATCGAAATGCTCATATACATATGAAAGTTGACAGCAACAGCGTATAAAAAGTATTTCTCATAGCTAACTTGTATGTATCTACTTGAACCTCAATAAACACTATACTTTGACTTATAAGTCAATATGTACAGGGTGTTACAAATTCTTGGCTGAACATGGAGATCAAACAGGGCGAGTTGAGTTAGGGCAAAGTTGTACCATCTCATGCTCAGCAAAAGCCTGCTTTGAAATTGGAAATATTCCAATTATTTCTGGAGATATCCGGAAAAAGGGGTAAATATGCAAAATCGTTCTTATTCATTACCCATTTCATTTAAAGAGATGTTCCAGAATTAATGTCACTTCAACATTGCCACTTTTCCTCTTCTACTAAATGGAATTGTCAAATTGAAAATCCGACGTTCCTTCTTCGAGCGGCCATTTTTTGAAAGTTTTCGATTTTCTCGATATGATGGTGTACCAAAACTGTTCATTAATCATTTACTTCAGTGAAATAGTTGTTCAAAAAAGCTATGGAGATACTCATCTTTTGTCAAACATAGCGTTTTTGATATTATTCTGTCTTTGTTTAACATATTATTCGAAACCAAGAATGAAAATTGAACAATTGTTCATCATTTAGCGAAATAATATTTATGAACGATGAATACACAATACAATCAAACAATATCCAACATGAAAAAATGTCCGACCATTGAGTTTTCTTTCACAGTCACATCAAAGATATTTCCGTTTGTTTTCAGGCATTCATTTGCTTCATTCAAAACCGCCACTTGATTTTTTTTCTGAGGCGCCATAAAGAACGGAAGCAAATTATAACCGCTCTTCGATCTTTACGAAGGCTATCTCTTGAAAGGTCTGTGAGAAGAGTTTTTGGGAAATGCAAATGAATGCTTGGACGCGAACGGAGAGTTTTTTGGGTATTTTTGGGCATTTACTATGAAAGAAAACTAGATGTTCGGTATTTTTTGCATATTACGACCACAGGGAAAAAAGAGGGAATGTCACAATATAGTGGAAATTGACTTGACACCGCCAACTGATAGCCTAACCACTATATTTTAGTATAAACAGAAGTCTATAGCAATAACGCAGCATATAGTCAGCTAATATGCTCGTTCGAAAATACGTTCACATGGAAAAAACGCAGAATGTCCAGTTCAATAATGTGAAGAAAGGAGAACGTCTAAGCTTATATAGTGATTGCTTGAATACAGATCCCATTGTGATTTTAATAGGTTCTTTTCACACTGTCAAAAGGTCAAAGTGAACTCAGGCCAACGAAAGAGGAGGAGAAAAAAGAAACGACCACCTTTTTTTTTCATCTCTTGGAGCGTACGAAAGGGAATCCCCATAATGTTCAGGAAACAGTCTTGAGAGAGGCTTGCCCGAACTCCGCTTCGCGTCGTTCGTGTCAACGGCAGTCGCGTGGGGGAAAGAGTCACTTTCCGCACTTGTTAGGAAAATAACTATTTTGTGATATTCCTCCTTTTCCCCTGTGGTCTTTATATTGATTGAATTATGTTCACATGATTCATGAATATTATTTCATTGAATAACAAACAATTGCTCAGTTGTCATTTTTGGGTACGTATAACTGATAATGCATCTAGAATGAGAGCAATTAAATTATGTAGGAGATACTTCGCACTGAATGATGTGTTAGACAA